ACTCTAACACCCCGAGAGACAAAGAGTACCGGTGATTTCTGCAAAGAGCCAAGCGTTACGTAAGCGTGTATATATTGAGAGTTTGCGGCACAGCACTGGAGACCTTCATTATTCTTTGCTCCTGTGATAGGAGTACGTTCTACGTTATGCCCCTTCGATAGAGCACGTGTGGGTGGATTAAAGAGCCGCACGTGGCTTGGCAGACGCCAGTTGGCCTCCGCTGCCTTAGCACACCGGGGGCCGCAGAGTTTGAGGGTTTTTGGCACCGGCTCACTCGCTGCTTACCTACGACTCCTCCTGCCTCCTCCGAGCCATTCTCTGACATTGAGGGTGTCGCAATTGTTACAGTGATTAAATTTCGATTTAAAGCTTTCGTGACTGCAGGGATTCATATTCTTGGTTCTTTCGGTAAAGTCAAGTAGAAGGGAAGTAATGAAATAATAAAAATTAAACAATACAATTCTCACAACGTTTCGATTGCAACACAAGCAGCAATCATCATCAGGTGATGATGATGATTGCTGCTTGTGTTGCAATACGTGACTTTACCGAAAGAACCAAGAATACGTTACCGTGATGTCACATTTCCCTGCGTTTAGACATCTTCTGTTGGTTGTTTGTTCACGCCGATGTCAATATTCCCATAATACTGTCCAGGTAGTCCCCGACGGTCCGACGTACGATATTTCGATCTTACGATGGCGATAGAAAATATGACAAAATTGTAAAATATTTTACATATCGCGCGGCAGGCAACGCAGCAGCGTACAAGGTACGATACTGTATGTTGGGACGCTGCCGGGATGTACTGTACGCATATAGTTTATACAGTACGGTACTGTAAATTGCTTTGTTTTGCTAAATTATCACCATTCTTTAAGACTCCTGGTTAGGCTAGGCCATTTTCGACTTACGATATTTTCGACTTACGATGGGGTCGTTGTAACGCATCTCCATCGTAAGTCGGGGACTACCTTTACACTGCAAAACATAATTTTAACGTGAGCGCTAAGTTGTCACCGCCTCGTCTAAAAGGCCGCGGTTATCTGTTCAGGTGGGAGGAGGTACTTTGCGGCTCGGGATGGCGTTGTTAGTCTGGCTAGTTTGCACGGAGCCTTGGCGGAGTGGCTATCGCACAACAGTCTTGGGCCCCCCATTCTATAAACTATTTTTTTAATTTTACCAAGTAAGGCCCACTGAGCTGTAAAGCCATTTTTTCAGAAGCGACATGGCCACAAATGATAGCTCAACGAAGTGGCTTATCACGTTGACATTTATAGCAGCCAAATACTCTAAACGCGTGATGTTGATTCTAAATGTGGAGAACCCCGAGAAAAATGCACGAAACTACGGGGAGAGAGACACACAAACTCCAAATATACAACAGGTGTCAGGGTTGGGTTTGAACCCACAATCTCCTGTATACCAAGCGAGGTAGTTAAAATCTCGCCACTGCACTGCCCACCAACCCGCACAAACCAGCGTGGTGAAATACGATCAATCAAACCCGCATGATGGACATGGCATTGGGAGGGGGTTTAACAAGAGGGCTGTACAAGTCCATGAGTGATTTCACCAGCGCGCTTGCCTCCATCTTAATTATCGAAAGTCACCAGCGATTCTTGTCTTACGGATAGTACGTATGCTGAACTTCTTTCGCACCATACGTAGCCAACCGTGCTAATCGGAGGTACGGGGGGAAGGAGAGTAAACTAAACACAAAAATGAGTTCCAAAGAAATTAGTTTTAAATCTAGATTTAAACAGTACATAGCTTCATTTGCTTCTGAATATCGTAAGGAAGAGCGTTCCAAACGGCTGCAAAAGCGCATCTGTAAGCACGCGATTCAGTGACCGTCTTTGTTCGATGGATAGACACGTCCTCGGCATGGTTATGTGGGGTTAACACTGCTGGCTCAAGGTCGCCAATGTCGATGAGTTCTGCACAAAGCTCCTTTGAGTGCGGAGATGATTTAATTTGTACGTTGCCTTTTAAATTGATCCGCAAACAAGGACGCACGCATAGATTAAAATATTTTCAGCAAATTAATACGTGTGGGAGGAAACCGGAGTACCTGTGGAATAACCACTCGAGCAACCATCCACCTCATGCATATGGGATAGATGGAGATTAGTCCGCACTTGCTGTGCCGCCTTCTCCTCGCGAGACAGGGTAGGGCACCTCCTCGACGCCCACCCACAGTAAGGGAGATTTGCAACATTTAGTACGGTCCACCAACGCTCTTCTCCACTGTGCTGGACCACAGGTGCACGTAGGCACCACCGCCGGCCACGGCGTGTAGTGCAATCACGCACGTGGTGTGTCACGAGCGTGGGACCGACGCAGCTTGAGTGGCTTCATGGTACGAGCCCACATTAAACCTCCACAAGTCCGCAGGGAAAACATTCTCCTCCAAGAGCACCACCGGCTGTCAGCCAACGAAGCACTCCCGCTGACAAAGGACCTCAAAACCCCCAGATGCACACATTAAATCCCGCTTCCCCTACTGGCATACACTCCAAACCCTACAAACCGATGACAGCCCTGCCTCTTGATGGCGTACCTCCTGGTTGACTGCAAACGTCACCGATTTTGCAACCTGGTAACTGACTCCCGAGCAGTGGAGTGCCAGGGTTCAACCTGCCACATTAAACTTGAGCAATTGCTCCACAAGTGGACCGTGAGGAGGAGCCCAAATTGTGACCGTGGCCACCCTAGTCAGACGATCGCCCGCGTACCAAACTCCTGCCGTGAGAGATCCATTCCCGGTGGCACCGCAACCACTCACTGAAGTGGGATGAATATGAAAGCGAAGGACGTTGCCGTGTCCATCTCAGTTGACGGTCGAAATTCCAAGCAGAGCTGCAAGCCAGGCAGAGTTATCCAGGGTTGAGCTCTGGAAAATATCCCATGAAAAAATTCAGCCCTGGCTGTAACAGTCTGTACCCTGGGCCCGACCGACACGTGTGGATAAAGAGGGAAACACTTAAGAAGCGGTGACGGATTTTGAGGCCAGCATTAGTCCTAATGGCACAGCTGTCCATACTATAACAGCAGGTTGACGAATGGTAGAACGGTTAGGACCTGCATCAAAAGTGACCCGAAAGCTTTTTGCTGTGGTCAGGAAGAGCTCGGAGGCAGCCACAATCATTCGAGGCAAGTGCTTTAAATGCGTCAGATTCTACTTGCGGTACGATCCTGCCCCGATGAGAATTGCTTGAATCGCTTAAATTAATGAATAAATACAAGGCGGTTATTTATTTATTATTATCTGGGTTTGGAGCGGATTTAGGCAGAGGAGCCTCTCTTTTGCAAAGGAAACTGGGGAAAAAAATCTGTGCTGCTTGGTGGCAAAAACAACGGGCTTTCTGAAACGTGGAAAAAATACATTTTGGCACCGGGGAATCAAATAAACAAAATAAATAAAACAACAATAATTGGAAAGCTGAAAGGGGGAAAGAACCCACGCATCAACAATGCTTAGCGTAAAGACAAATAAACAATTCTGCAATTGGGGAATACTGTATTGACAAGCAAACAAACGGCACATTAATAATTCTAAGTTTAAAATCTCAACTGCACTGGGAATTAGTTCTTTTGACAATTTGTTGTTTGTAAATTTGTTTTCCAAGCAAGAAAAACAAGTTTTAGTTACTTTTTTTAACGATCATATATCGTCTATTTGGTCACATGACACCGCGGTGAGAGCGCTCGACTGGCAGGTGGAAGGTTACGAGTTCAAACCCTGGTTTGGTTGGTCAACTCACCACATCATCTCTGTGGGAATATTGTTGTCTTGAAGAATAGACTACCCCTGTTATAAGGAATGTGGAATTTCATTGACTGCGCTCGAAGTCACCGATAGAGACGGACGTTGAACGTGACATCTTCCGGTTTTGATGTTTTAGTTTGAGATTCACACGGGCAGCTGTAAGAGGTCAATTGCATACAACTGTTGACAACGTTGAGTTGTAGCTCAATATGGAGCATGACGTTAATGTTCATTGTAAAACAAAAATGTTACTTAACTTGTGTTTCGTTTGAAGCGGCATGGTTTGTATGTCTGTATGTTGAACGTCTCTCACACCGCGTGTAGCCAACCGTGCTAATCGGAGGTTTCGGGGGGAAGGACAACAAACTAAACACATTTAGATCTTGACTTAAAGCTTTCGTGACTGCACAAATGCCTATTCTTTGGGTCCTTCGGTAAAGTCACGTAGATAGAACAATATTTTGGTTTTATCGTTCTATCTACGTGACTTTACCGAAAGACCGAAACAATACATTTAGATATTTTTCAGTGCATCTCGTGTTTTGTATGTTGGACTTAAACGCCGTGTTTCTTTCATTGTGCGTTTCTCGCAGGGTTGTTATTAACCTTGGGCCTCGTCTGAACCTCCTTTCCTGAAGCAATTGGAAAGCAAACGAATCGTGGTTTCTAATCATTCCCAGAGAACGCGCGCAATTTGATGGCTGTCGGGCTTTTAAAGATCATTGTTTTATCAGCAGCAGCTCCTCGCTCTCAGCCACTTCAGAGAACCAAGTGCAAAACAGTGTTGCTCTGCCTCAGTGGGTTGTGAGTAATAAATAAATTAACGACAATGAAATCAAACAAATGAAACAGAAAAGCCATCTGCTTTTGACACCGTAAAAGACGACATTTAATCCTTTGACCGTGGGGATTTGGAGAGCTGTGTTGTTTTTTTTGTCCCACCAGTAGCGTTTGCCTCTCAACAGCCTGCACCGGACTTGACTTCACTGATGCTCATCAGTTTGTGTGCGGCCTCTCAGCCCATTGCCACTTGTTGGCCGCGTGTTATTGGCAAGGGCCATCAACAAACACAAGAGGGTGTCTGAAACGGAGGGCTTTAAAAGAAAGCGTAAAAAAAATGTCGCGCGCAAATAAAGCATCGCATTCAATAGAGACAAAAAAAATCACTTTTAATCTTTTTGGAGACAATTTCGTTCTTTCAGTTTGCGTATTTTTTTTATCCTTCCAGCGACTCCATCGGCAACAACTACAGCCCGACTGCCCGCGACCTCTCCACGCATGGCATCTACAAGCTGCTCAGTACACCAGGTGAGTGAGAGAGCATCTGCTAGCACCGCCAAAGTCGATGCTTTTCTAAAATGACTGTTACCATTCGCTCTCAGTAGTTCCGTTCACATGACCACCGATCACTGTCATGGAGATCTGTTAAAACCACCCCAGGGGATTTTTTTTAAAATCGAGATCTGACGTCTGTTAAAGCGACTGACACTCGCTTTTAAAAGGGTCTACTGAAGCCTAATGCCACTCATAGTGCTCTATAAAGGGTTACTTCGGCACCTTACATTCCATAATATTATGCATTGCATTTTGCTATTTATATGATGATAACTCTGAGCCCAAGCCCAAGGTTTGCAGCAAATTAAATGCAGTAATTCAACAGCTTGCTACACAGGTCACTGTTTATCGACCTTTATGCAAGCGAGCGAAGATCGGTTAAATACACAGAGAATGTGGCTGCGCCAGGGAGACTTGCACACACTAGCACGCACGCGCCTCCGCACGGCCCCGCCATGCCCCTAATTGCATGTGGATTTAGTGCGCGTGGCATCGCGCCTCGCACCTCACTATTAATTAATCGGCAAGTGACCTGGCCGAGGCTGGGCCGCAAATGGACGACGAGGGCTTCGGCAGAGAGCGGCTCCTTCGCCAGAGCGCCCACGCGGTGATTGACGACCGAGATCTCGAGCCATCGAGCGGCCGCTGATATTTACGGCGGGCCGGCCGCAATGCGAGAGAGCTCCCGAGCTCGCTCGCTCGTTCGTTCGCTCACTCCCTCGCCCGCCCGCGCGGCACTGCCGCTGCGCTCCGCTCGCGTTGCCGAAGCGAGCGAGGTGTGAAGCCGCACCATTTCAGGCTCCTCTGGCAGCTCTGCGGTGGCAGCGGAGCGAGCGAGCCGTTGGCGCGTTCTCAATTTTGCTTTCGGTTCGGCCGGTGACCCCGCGCCGTGTTTGCGCGGCGTGCGACTGCGTAGAGCCGGCGGCGCTGAGGAGGAGCGGGGAGCCGGGCGAGCGCTCGCGCCCGCCGCTCCGTGGCAGGGCGCCGGGCGGCGCGGGTCTGTCCGAGCGAGCACGCGGAACCGGCCGGCGATCCGGGGCCCTCCCGAGGTACAATCTCTTTTCTCACGGCCGCACGCCACGGCGGCTCTTCGTGGCGAGGCGGTGGTCGTTCGTGTGAATGTTCCTTCGTGGGGTCAGAGAGCTCGACCTTGACGAACAAACATAGGAGGCGGTTTTTGGGGCCCCAGAAGCTCTATAGGTGCACGCGGAGGATGCTGAAAATGTCGCCGTGAGATGCGGTTCGGAATTAAATGGGGTAGCGGAAAGCGTACGACGCAATCGGGAATAGGAGTTTGCAGTGAGTGAGGCTTGTTTGCATGTTTGAGGGGGGCAGCTCGTGCAGTGAGGCATTGGAGTGTCATCAAGAGGTTGGAAACCAAGGGGACGACCTCCAGCAAAGGTGATTGGATACCGTGAGAGAAAGACTCTGACAGTTGTGTGTTGACTTCAACAGCGGCAGGAGCTCGCAAAACGAAGAGTGACGGTGATGTCTGGCGGTGGTGTTGTCATCAGCATTGGCTATGATGACTTCATCACTGTGATTATAACTTTTGAGTGATTGATGCCATTGCTTTTAGCCGGTGAGAGGTAATTTGCATTAATTGCTCCTGTTCCCTGAATTGTTATAAACCTGTGGAAAGTTGCCATATTGGCATTGAATAGTGGTACATTTATGCCAAATATCTTTAGCATTTGTTTTGTTCCTGATATTAAACAGGCCCTTGGTCACCTTGGTGGCTATGCACGTGGCCCGTAGTCCAGCACTGTGGAGGTAGCGAGGGTTGGTGAATCACACGCAGATGTTGTGAAACTCCCTTCCCTTGGGCATCGAAGTGGAGCCATGCCCTGACTTGGCCAGGAGAATGCGGTGCAGAAAATGTTGACTCCACCTGTTCTGTCTGTGCGTTTGCCTCTCAGTGCCCTAGTTTCCTCCCACGTGCATGAACACTCATTCAAATTGTCTGAAAACATCTAAATGTAACAGAGGACCTCCAGAGCTTGGGAAATTGCTGGCGCCGGCTAACCGCGTGGCTGCCTTCCCGCTCGTCTGCGGTTCCTCCTCTCGCCTCTTAGTTGTTCTCTGTCTGTGAGAGTGAGCGAATGCTGTGCATGTTACGAGTTGAAATTATTCTCGTAATAATACATTAGGATGTGTAGTCTGGTGGCTTAATTGTCGTTGTTAATTCGGTTTGGTTTGGGTAATTTTCCATTGTGTAGGTTTTTTGTGTTAGATGGCGTGAATATAATTGTGTTGTTAAACCCGCCACCACCCGACGCAGCCAATTGGTAAGGTTTGTCACGTAAACAGAATATGCCAATTAGTTACTAGTACAGCACACGTGGGTTGGAGAGCAAATCCACAACTTTTACAATCTGAGTACGACGTTTCGCTAGTAATTACAACTAGCTTCATCTGCCGAAGCGTCGTACTCGGATTGTAAATGTTGTGGATTTACTCTCCAACACACCGGTGTGCTGTACTAGTAACTAATTGGTATGTTCTGTTTACGTGACGAACCTTACTAATTGGCTGTGTCGGGTGGTGGCCGGTTTAACGGCACATTTATATTTACGCCATCTAACACAGAATACCTACATTACGGATGATATTGGTCGCAAAAGCCTACGTGTTAAACTTGAGTTGTTTTGTTGGGAAATTTTTGGGGGATTTGGGATTGGGGCTACGACACCAGAACACCGTGGCCTATATATTTGCAAATGATGATGTGCCAAGTCTCTGACGGTCTCTTTTTGCGGAAGGCGGCGCAATTGGTAACTCGTCGGTGAGCAGGCTGATCACTAGCCCCGCCGAGTACACTTCAACTGCAGGCGCGTCGAGAGCACGGACAACTCAGAGTCAGAGGGACTGTATGGTCAAATGGGAAATGCGTGATGCTGACCTCCATCAGTGACCCTGTGCCACGAGTGAATATTTCCCATTCGGACAGAAGTGGCCAGTCTCTCTATCGGACAATCGCTGTGGAATTCCTGTAAAGTGGTATTCGTTTTATGATAGGATGAGTCAACCCTCGACCGGGATTTGAATTCACAACCTTCTGATCATGAGTCAAGCACTCAAAGCTTGGCTAAGTGTTCCGACACGGGGCTATCATCACTCAAGCCACGAAATGATTTTGCTCCAGACATTGGCCTCTGTTTGAAATTGGCCATGCAGAGTGTGCAAGACCTTCTTGCCACCGTTTGATAACCGGTGCCTGATCGGTCATCTCCAACTAAAATGGCACAATCTGCAGTGAATGTTGATGTACTGCACAGCGAGAGATAATTCCGTGAGAAATGGCACCCCCTGTGATTTCTTTTATTCTCACAAATGGAAACTGCCTGTTTTTTGTTTAGTTTTTTTGCTTTATAACTACCAAGGCTGATTTCTGTATGCATTGGATATGCCTTGTCTGTAACATGGGGTCAAGATCACATGATTAAAAGCGACCCGAGGTGAAGAGAACTTTAGCGTACAGTTGTGCTGCTACTAATAGGCTCTAGCCCGATTGAAAATCTGGTTTAATTGATCAGCGTTTCCCCAAAATTGGACACCCAACCGGAGCCAAAAAGGACAATTCCAAATCTGAAATCATGTCTCCTTGACAGATACTTATCGGCGTCTGTACTACAAGTTAAATGTTTGATAGCATTACACAATCTGTACATATACACGTTTTTTTCTCCCTCGCTTTTTTTTTAAATAATGGCTGCTGGTTCAACGCAGCATGCTTACGTAAACACCTTGTGGGCAAATAACAGTTATTCTGGTTTTGAGAGACTGGCCTCCGTCATATGAATGTGGAATTTTAACCACTGGCAAAGCTGACACCAGTGGGAATGAACGCCACCCAATGTTACTTTGAGGTGGAAGACGCTTTGACGCTTTTGCTAGTTTTTTTGTTTTAGAACAAGCTGGGAGCAGGTGGCACGTAGCTTGCAATGCAGAGCACACACTCTGTCACGTGGAAATGACAAGGCGGTGGAGTATTTTTGGAAATTTGTGCACAGTCTCACATTCCCCAGATGGTCCAAGAAACACAAGTTGCTGTGAACTCACTTTTTTTTTATTAAGTTTGATTAACCGAAGGAGAACTCCTGCCAGAGCTGAGCTAAATGGAGGTGGCTTGTGGTACCTGGCCGTCTGTTTTCTCAGCTGTGCCCCGCGCACACACACGCACACTCCACGACTCGCTGTGTGCGGGACACACACGTGTACACACACACACAGTAGCGTGTTTAGTAGCCAGGTAATGATTTACCCCTCTCCTGCGAATCAATCAATTGTCGACAATCATCAAGCGTGATTTTTTCTTGAGGTGGAACAGTGACGCGCTGGTTGTGAACCAGAACGCCTGCGTTTGATCCCTGGCCCGGGCTCACGTTGGTGGCGAGTGATACTTGGACCAGTCCTGGTCTCCCTTGAATTCACCAACATGCATCTAACCAGCATGGTGACGTGTGTTCAAACAAATCTCATGACCATACTCTTTGGTTGTTTTCGGTAAAGTCACGTAGGTGAAAACAAAATAAAAACAAAACAACTACATAATTTTTTTTATTTTATTTAGTTTTCACCTACGTGACTTTACCGAAAAAAGCAAAGAGTATGGATCCTTGCAGTCACAAAAACTTCAAATCTAGAATAAATCTCATGACCGTACGGTGTGGACAGGCCTTCATCCAGCGGTGTATTGACAAGGGACTGTAAATTATTTTTGTTTGAAATTATTCTTTCAATTGTGTGTTATTCATTATTCTGTCTTGGTTTTTTTTATCTTCAATAAACGTCAGTCTTGCTTGCTCGGTGGGATTCATTCCATGAGTGCGATGGCATCATTTACATAAAAATTCGAGTAAGATTATCCCAATCTGTAAGTCGCAAATTCTCTCTCACACACACACACCATGTCTTGCATGCGCCTTGAGTTGTAGTAATCCATTTAAACTGCTGAATTGGTTCACACGTTCGTTTTTTTTCCTGCACGTTCTGCTTACGTGACAACCCTTACGAGTTGGCTGTGTCGGGTGGTGGCGGGTTTTAACGACACAATTATATATTTATGCGATCTAACCAAAGAAACCTCTGTTATGGAAGTTGATGGGTGTCACCATTTGCCGAGGCAATTACGAACGTGAAATAAAGCCGAGGTTCTTTCTTCATTGCAGTGCTTTGTTTCACTCACGTGGCTTTTATTATTTCATGCTCGAGCCATCTCAATAAAAGCCTGTTTCTCTCATTCATTATTGTTCATTGAAAACTAAAGTAGCATTTAATTATTTTACTTTGTGCGGCGTATATAATTACACATGTATAATTACACATGCAGCGCTCTATGTAATGGCACGCTAATGTGAGGCTATGAATTTAAAAACAAAAACTATAGGAAACATCACGGCTCGTTCAGACAAACCGTAGGGTTCCCAGACGCCATTCGTATTCATTAAGGTATTATTATTTTTATTCCTCGAAGCGGAAAGAATTTGGCGAGAGTTATAACTATTTTGCTTCGTATATTTGCCCGTCCCATGTTGGGAAATGACCTTTTTTGAAATGGTGTCACTTCGGTTTGGCTTTGTTGTATTGGTTTAGGGCCACACACACGCACACTTTGCAAATGTTATCGAAATTACATGCTGTGCTATCAGCAAAAATAGCATATAGAAAGCCCTAAATTGTCCACGTTTTAGTTCTGATATTCTGCTATTTGCAATAATTGCTTTGGACTGTTTACATTACACCCCATGCCAGGGTGTAATTTTACTCACAAGCTGACACTTAACTCTCAATTTTCACACTGGGAATTGCAGTTAAACTATAAACTCTTTTTTTATTTTACCAGGTAAGGCGACCTGGCCACAAATGATAGCTCAACGAAGTGACTCATCATGTGGAAATGTATAGCAGCCAAATAATCTAAATGCCTGTTTCTAAAAGTGGAGGGAAAACCGGAGGATCCGGAGATGAATCCACGCGACCACGGGGAGAGAGACACGCAAACTCCAAATATACAGGCGTGAGTGTCAGGATCGAACCCACGAGCCCC